TTATATTAAGGGGTGTCTATGAAAATCCCTGAACATCAGAGGTGAACCAAAACGCCATTTTCCATGAACCACCCCGCGAGTGTCCGTTCAAGAACCGTTTGAGAGGTTGAGAGACCTGAAGTGACCCTGGGACCCTACATTGATGTACGTGGTACATCATGGTACATCTGAGAGAAGCTTTAGGTTGGGTCTGTCCGTTCTTACCTGTAACAGGACCCGGCTTCACAAGCAAGTCACGATTCTAGAGACGGAATGGCCAACCAGCCCCCCATCATCCACGCCTTGGGAGCTTGGGAGCCAAGCTCTAGGGCTTTTCCACCTCTCAAGTCCAGGCTGCGATGTGGCCCCCCAGGTGGGCCGGGTGGGGCCTGAATGGACTTGAAGGGTGGGGACCCACGTTTAGTATGCTTTAGTTGGAGTGCGTACTCAGCTTATCTATATAGAATCACGATTTAGTTCATAGAGACCCCACAAGATTCATTGTGGGCTGTCACTCCTTCATTTCGTGTTGCGCCAGTGAATCCAAGTCAGAGACTCTAAAGACATCTAAAAACCATGGTAAATGGTAGGCCACAAAAACATCATCTCAGGTGCTGTGCCAATGGCATGTAAACAGGGGAGATGTGGCAGTTGGGAGCGCTTCTGCTGTGGTGAGCACGCGCTGATGGAAGCCAGTGGTGACTGCTCAGAAGAAGGACGGGATGCCTGAGAAGTACGACCACCTAGGAGGGAATGTCTTGTTTTCAGTCAAAAAGGTATCTCCACTCTTGCTGGGATCATCCAAGCCATTCATGTCAGGCAACCTAATCCTTTTTCTTTCACCGGCTTGGTGCAACCATGTGTTCGAGCTCTCGCGGTGACTGGGAAGAGGTTTTGTTTTGCATGCATCTCAAAGCTACCAGCAAGACAGAACCTCACAAACCATTCCACTTGTGTGGGGAGAGCACAAGAGATGTGCAGATGGGGATGCAAGGTATTGCTGAGTCTCACCCAGAGCTCTTGATAACAGAAACATGTCACTTCCTGGCTATCCACTTCCTTCGTTCGGGCAGTTCCGACAATGATATTACCATGCGTTCGATGTGCAACTCCTAATGAATGGGTGGCTGCAATTCATTGCAATTCATTTGCAGCCGATGTTCTAGGAGCCTTTTTGCACTTCGAATACGAAGACAGACAATGGCAGACAGACAGTTGCCCCGCCAACGAATGGTCCAAATGGTGGCACATACTACTAACATATGATATGTTTATCAGTTCCCATATACACAATGTGCCCCAAAGGTGAAGGAAGATGATGATCATGACATGTTGGGTGTCCAACCGTACTTTGATCATGCTTGATGCGTTTTGATGTGTATGTGTTTTACCATGCTTTACTGTTTGAAAAAGCCCCGAGTTAACTGCAACCCATTCGTCCTTCAGTTTGGGAAGGCCAGAACCTCTGGGAGAGGCGGGTGGCGAAACGGCGGTCGCAGTCGGCCTCCGCGAACGAAGCCTAAGAACTCCTCAATGGTTGAGAGGCCGTTGCCTGGCAAAAGAGTTTCGGAACTATCGTTGCAAAAGATCTCATCCATCATCATATCCTTAAATGATTCAACAAAAAAACATAGATAAGACATTACATGAGAAACAATATGTGAGACCTTTGTAGTATTTTGTAGTATAGGTCTTTGTTCGGAGTTGCCTCAATGTTGGTCGAGGCATCGGTGCCTCAACCATCCGAGAGGCGGCCCGACGGTCGCGCGACGCTTTTGGTTCGTGCGCAGATGATGGGGACGGGAAGGGACGGGCCTTCTTGTTAGTAAGGCCAGGAGCTATTTGTGGGGTCGCTGAAGACGGGATTGGAAAACGGGACTGAAAAGAGCTTCTTTTTGTTCAAAGCCCCGAGACACGGACCTACCGCGGTCGATCCGTGTTTTGTTTCGAGTATCGGTCGACGGAGTCGAGTGCCAGGCCTGATCGCGGGCGATCGCAGTCGGCAGAGGTTTGAAATACACACCCAGACTATCCCAGACTGCACTTATATATAGCGCCTACCGACAAACCCATGAGGTGTTATTAGCGCCTGTAGGGCGCCCATCGCAGTCGACCGTGTGTCTACACCCATTGTAGGGCCCAGAACGACCGCGGCCGAGCCAACGACCGCGGCCTCGCCAGGTCCAGCAAGTCTCCGGTAAGGTGCGGTGGTGGAGCGCTGTTGCGGTGGTTGCATGGTTCCGATGGATGTGTCGCTGGTCAGAACCTGGGGTGATATGAGGCGATTCATGAGGCGAAACTTCTCCTGAACAAGGGGAGAGGACCCTGGGAAGCTTCATCAACAGGTTGCCTGACTCCAGTGTAGCGCCTCGAAATGTCTCGAAGAATGCAATCTGGAAGTAGCTTCCTAGCAAACTGAGCTCCTGCAAGATTGATGTTTTGCACAAACAACACATACGCGCTCCCTGGAACTAACATGGAAGTGGACCCCTTGGAAGACCATGACATCCTCTACAAACAAGGGGGGTTCCACTTCCATGTTGGTTCCAGGGAGAGTACAACTCTTGGAACATCATGCAAAATGACTCTGATCTCCACTTGGCCCACGCAAGACATGTGTCTTTGGCAGGAGTCGTGTCTCGAGCTCAGCAGGGTCTGCAGTTTGGGTCGGTTTGGAATGCTGAAACCCAACTGTTTGAGTCGTTGCAACCTAAATCACCTGCTCCAACAGCCGGGAGTGGCGACGAATGTGTCATTCATGTTTTCACGTTTTCCAGCGGACTCGTGGCTGCCAAACTTGTGTGCACTCGAAGCATCGTCCACACCGTGCACGCGATCGATTGGCCGTTCGCCCCTCAAAAGCCCGTATACACATTGTCGGGTGCCTGAGGGTTTGTTTGTACGAATGAACTCGAGTATCCACAAAACGTGCAACCACCGTTCACCATACACCGGTATAAGACACAGGGTGAGATGAAGAAAGATGAAATCACATCCACGAAGCAATGGCACCTAATTCGGAACATCAAGCATATCAAGTGATTGTTTGAGACGAATGCATTTCTTGATTTTTTAGTACAGGTTATGACTTTTACATATGAGGTATCTGAATACGGTGGATCCAGACATGGAGTCGACTGAGCAACTATGGTACGACTCGCACATTCAGCGGATAGGATTGATTTGGCAATGAGGCATCACATTTTGCACAAGCAAGTCAGCCAGCCGCAGAAAGGGGCGCGCGAAAATTCCACCCACCAAGCTCCGATGAAACCCCAGTCGAACTATAGCGAGCTAGCATTGGTTTTCTTATGGGGATATAACGAGCATTGCAATGTGTTCTCAAGATATCTAACTACCGAACGTAAAACGCTAGCTTGATGCCACAAACTACGCTTTGCATCTGGCTGAAATGCAAGGATGTGTTCTTGTTTAGAACACAACCTATGACAACCTATGACTAGCCGCACCGAAACGTAGCTGACATTAGCTGACAAAAAGGATTTGAGCAATGGAGATTACAGCCCTCTCAGGTGCCACTGTCACCAGGCTTGATGAAGATGAATTGGGCTGCATGGTGGAGAGTGGACATTCGGTTGGGGATTTGAAGAAGTTCCTGGCCGGACGGGTTGGATACTCAAGATTTCGACAAAGACTCTTGAATGAAGAGATGGGTGATTTACGGGATGACATGCCTGTCAGACAACTGCCAAGTTGTTTGCAGTTGGTAATCCTGGACTTCGGTGCGCCTGACGAGGCCATTTGGAAGGAATTACTTCGTGCGTGTGAGAACTGTCTAGTTGCTGAAGTTATAAGTTTGCTGCAGAAACCACTGGACCCCAATGGGCAAGGTGATGAAACTGAGCCTCCACCTTTGCATGTTGCAGCAGAACGAGGCCACTTGGAGGTGGTGCGGTTGTTGCTCGAGGCTGGAGCTGACAAGAATGCGGC